GCCGAAGCAGGAGAATTGCTTAAACCCAGGAGGCGGAGATTGCAGTAAACTGAGATTACACCATTGTACATCCTTATTGGATGATCTTCTAACTGAATCTGAGGACACAGCACAGCGCAGGAAAGAAGCGGCTGATATGCTAATGGCATTACAAGGAGCCAGTCAAATTATTGCTGAAACCTGAGAGACTCATCTTTGATGAAGAGAACTATATAATACTGAGACTTTATTGACTCAAAAACTTGCTGGTTACTGCCTGATTAGAATTTTATTTATGAACTCCTATGTATTGCAATGGTATGAATCTGCTCATGTGAAGACTGGCTATAAACTGAAAAGTGTACTCCATATTACAGAACAAATCACACATTTAATCCAAATAATAAATGGCTGTTTTTAAAGTTAAAAAAGGTTTTGTTTTGTCTTGTTTTTTTCCAAAAAAAAAAAAAAGATTTTTTTTTTTTTTAGAATAGGACATTGCAATGGAAATCTTGGCTCACTGCAACCTCTGCCTCCTGGATTCAAGTGATTCTTCTGCCTCAGCCTCCTGAGTACCTGGGATTACAGGCATGCACCACCATACCTGGCTGATTTTTGTATTTTTAGTAGATACAGGATTTCACCATGTTGGCCAGGCTGGTCTCAAACTCCTGACCTCAAGTGATCTGCCTGCCTCAGCCTCTCAAAGTGCTGGGATTACAGGCGTGAGCCACTGCGCCTGGCTGAAAAGTTGTCTTTTTCATATTGTTAACAGCTTTTCTCTAGATGTCAGAATAAGACTCTATATTGTAATGAGACTCTCACTCTCTTAATGCCCACCGTTTTCATTTGACGGGATAGTGGCCATTTGATTTATTCAATTGGTTGCCTTTAAGCTTCGGTTCATGGCTCAAAGCCATATGCAAACTGGTATTGTCATACTGCTATTAATTTTACTTTGCATTTTTCTTTTTAAACTTTGCATCTGTTACTTGCTAAATTTTGCAGAGGGGCAATTCCTGACAGAATAATACTGGCTCAGCACCTCGAGATGAGAGCAAATGACTGTGAGACACAAAAATAACTTAACAGTGGACTCCAGGCACACCCAGCCTGAGAGCCACTCCCTTCAAACCTCTCTTGTTGCTCACATTGTGGTTAAAAGGGTTTTAACACTGCCTTCTTGCTGCCATTCGCTTTGTCTAACGTGGGACCAGACCAGCAACCCAGGACAGGCTTATCCCAGGACCAAGGAATATCAAAACCTCACTACAGGATGACTTAACAGTGATGCTTTTGGAGAATGATTGAGATCAAATGGGGAAAATGTGAACTTTGTCAGAATCAAAATGGAATTACATATGTTTTTTAAAAAACAACAAAATTTCACAAATAGAGCTAGAGAAAGCAATGAAAAGAGAGTTTTGCTGGGCGTCGCGGCTCACACCTGTAATCCCAGCACTTTGGGAGGCCAAATCGGGTAGGTTGCTTGAGCTCAGAGTTTGACACCAAGCTGGGAAACATAGCAAAACTCTGTCTCTACAAAAAATACAAAAAATTAGCCAGGAGTAGTGGCACACACCTGCAGTCCCAGCTACTCAGGAGGCTGAGGTGGGAGGATTGCTTGAGCCCAGGAAGCAGAGGTTGCAGGGAGCTGAGAACACACCACTGAACTCAAGCCTGGATGACAAAGCCAGAGCCTGTCTTAAAAAAAGAAAAAGAAAAAAAGGAGAGCTCTCATGCATTAATGCCTAAAAACAAAAACTATCACAAAAGATTCTGTAGAAACCGCAATCTGGCACAAAGGTCATTGCAATCTTACAAAAAAAAGAAAATACATCTGCAAGAAAACCTGCCCAGCAACTGCCTGTACAACCTTGAACTGGCATCACCCTTGTTATTGATCCTTGTACCTAAAGACAATTATCTTGAAACGATTACGAGATCATCCATACTTTTTCTTTACAAATCTTTGTCTTCCATTGTCTCCCTGAATATGCATGTAGTTTACTATGGCACACATATTTCCATTACAATGTGCTATTCTAAAAAAACAAACAAACAAACAAACAACTGTGCTGAGTTGGGGTAGGGTGTAGCAGGCTAAAAAGCTAAAAAGACAAAATGGCCCTATCCTCCAGGAACTGAAGGGTCCAGCGAGGGAATGGTCCATTTGCTCTTCGTCCATATGGAGAAGGACAGGCAGACCAAGTTACAATGTAGTATGTTAGAAAAGACCTGAATCCTTGCAAATAGGGAATCTGAGCAACCCCAAGCCGTGGTGGAGATGAGGGATACAGTAGCCTTTTTTTAGTCTTTTTGGTCACCTGTGCATGGACCTCATTCCTAAGTTTGGGATGCCCCTCCTGAGAAAGAGCCCGTCTCCCATCAGAGGAAGCTTGTCCAGCCTCCTTGTCATTCAGAGCACAGGGCCTCGCCTCAGCCTGCACAATCAGATGCATTCACTGAACTCTGAATCCAAAGCCAGTGGTACAGAAATCATGCAGGCTCCTTTCGCCAACGGAAGGCAGTGGTGGTGGCAGCTGTATCTGGTTCCCCAGTACAGTGGTAACATATCCAATTTCTAGAACCCAGAATCATCTGTTCCCACCCTGTCATTTTACAAATGCCATGTGGAAATCATCGAAAACCACCCAAATGAGAACAGGCAAAGGCTATTGATTCAGAGATTGGTCTAATGAGGGAGTCACCCATCATCACCTGTATTTTGGCGGAGATGACAAGGCACGCAGGGGAGTGGGAGAGCTTCAGAGCTGAATAAAGAAAAGCTTCAGGTATCCCCTGATTGAAGGCTGTTTTCATAGGGAAGCTGTAGGCATGCTGACCAGAAGCGGGCAACCTATGTGATTGAGGTTTATATTTTTTACTTTCTCTGGCTGATCCTAAGTTGGAAGCAGGGATGAAAATTAGGGAAGCTCTCAATTATTAATCAAGTCCTGTCCATTTGGGGCCAATCGTTACCGGCGTTATTGCTTCCAGGACTCATTGCTAGTGATAATAATCTTACTTCCTGCGAGTCTCACATAGTGAGGTAAAATATGAATGCCAGCCGTAGATAGGCTGCCTCCCCAGCCTGTTTGCTATAGATAACGGATTGGTTTCCTAGGCTGATTGTTGCAGATTGCGGGTCAGAGTTCTATTTTGAGAGGTGACTTGGCCACTGTCTGTCTGTATATTTAGTCTCTCAGCAGAATATATACTCCCTCCAGAGAGGGGGAGTGGCCTATTTAAGGTCTAACTGCTAATACTAACCAGAGCTGATAGGTCAACCTGAGATTTAGCATATTTATCTTGTCATCTCCAAAGGAACTTATGTTCTGCTTGTTGAAGAAACAAGATTTCGACCTATAGAAAAATAAAATTCAGGCCGGGCGCGGTGGCTCAAGCCTGTAATCCCAGCACTTTGGGAGGCCGAGGTGGGTGGATCACGAGGTCAAGAGATCGAGACCATCCTGGTCAGCACAGTGAAACCCCGTCTCTACTGAAAATGCAAAAAATTAGCTGGGCATGGTGGCGCATGCCTGTAATCCAGCTACTCAGGAGGCTGAGGCAGGAGAATTGCCTGAACCCAGGAGGCGGAGGTTGCGGTGAGCCGAGATCGCGCCATTGCACTCCAGCCTGGGTAACAAGAGCGAAACTCCGTCCCCAAAAAAAAAAAAAAAAAAAAAGAAAGAAAAATAAAATTCAACACAGATGTCACAGAGATAAGTTACACCAGAAAGTTAATTGTTAGTGCTGTAGCTTGGCAGGAAGTCTCATCATTTTCCTCTGATAATGGCCAGAACTGCTATTGGTCAGATGGTTTCTCCTTCTCCTTCTCCTTCTCCTTCTCCTTCTCCTTCTCCTTCTCCTTCTCCTTCTCCTCCTTCTCCTTCTCCCCTTTTTGAGACAGAGCTTTGTTCTTGTTGCCCAGGCTGGAGTGCAATGGTACAGTCTCGGCTCACCACAACCTCTGCTTCCCAGGTTCAAGTGATTCTCCTGCCTCAGCCTCCCAAGTAGCTGGGATTAGAGGCATGCACCACTACACCCAGCTAATTCTGTATTTTTAGTAGAGATGGGGTTTCTCCATGTTGGTCAAGCTGATCTCGAACTCCTGGCCTCAGGTGACCCACCTGCCTCACCCTCCCAAAGTGCTGGGATTATAGGCATGAGCCACTGCACCTGGCTTGGTCAGGTGCTTACTATGTACTGGGCATTCTATCCATCCAGAAAAGTGAGGTGGTTTAAAGCATGGCTCTCCAGTCTTCCCACCTGCATTCATACTTTATCTCTACCACCGGTAGCTAGTGAACTTGAACACGATATTTTACCTCTCATCTTCAATTTCTTCATCTGCAAAATGGAAATAATAACGGAACTATCTCATCACGCTCTTGTGCAAATTAGATGAGCAGATATTTGCAACGCATTTATAATACTTATATAATAAGTACTGGTACAAATTAGCTATTGCAATCTCATTTAGTCCTCATATTCATTCAGTCTGGTAAGTAATATCCCCACCTTGCAGGTGAAAAACTGAAGGTGGTGATGTCACTTCTCCAAGATATTGAGAGTCAGAGTCAGAAATTTTACTCCTGTCTCTAGGAAACCAAAGCTCATTATTCCTTTCTGCTGTGCTTCTGAACACAGATGACATTGTTCAGAAAAAGGACAAAAAAGTGGAAAAGTACGTAGGGCTGTGGTATCAGACCACCCACATTCATATCTTGGTTCTGACTTCTATTCACTATAAAACCTTGCACAAACTACTTACCATTTCTGAGCACATTATCATTTGCAAACTGGTAATAAAATTCGTTGTTTTAATAAGACTAGGGTTGTTTTAAGGATTCAATAATGTACTATATGTGAAGTTTCCACTTCAGGGCCTGGCACATGCTAAGTGCTTAATAATTGACAATGATCATTTTTAATTATTGTAATTTGAAGTGACTGTCATAAACCACTCTTTAGTGTCTGTCCTTAATGGTCTCGTCTTCATGCAGTTTTGCCTTTACCTCCAGTCTAGTTTGACGTCTCCATTGCTGAATTCCTCATTCTTCAACATTGTTGAATTTCCTCATGCAGTACTATGGTAAGTCAAGGAGAGAAGAGACAAATGACTTGGAGCAGAGTTCTGCAGAGAAGAGGAATAGGCAGGCAAAGGGTAACAAGTCAATGGCAACACAGGGACATGGAGTCCCAAAGGACCAAGGCTTCCTATCGTCCAGACTTTCAGAAGAGTCAAAAATGCTTCCTATGGCTGGCCATGGTGCCTTAGTAATCTCAGCATTTTGGGAGACCAAGGAGGGTGGATCGCTTGGGCTCAGGAGTTCGAGACCAGCCTGGGCAACAGGCTATCTCTATAAAAAGTACAAAAATTGGCTGGGTGTGGCGGTATGCACTTCTAATCCCAGGTACTCAGGAGGTTGAGGCGAGAGGATTGCTCGAGTCCAGGAGTTCAAGACCAGCATGGGCAATAGAGCAAGACCTGTCTAAACAAAAACAAAAACAAAAAACAAAACAAAAAAGCTCCCTTCTAAGAAGCAAATAGAGGAGCTGTGTCTTCAGCCCTGTGGTCAAACTCAGGGCCATCTGGGAGACACTCGCTACATCCTTAGCAGATGAAACCAGCTTCCTCCTTGCCATGTAGCATTTCTTGGAGGTGATTATTTTAATTTTAGCACTGAGTTCCATGAAGTTGACCTCTTAACTCTATTTCTTGAGAGGTGAAGTCAAGTTTTTTATCAGATTGGTCAGAGAGAATCAGGAAACACACAACTGAAAAATCTGATAGAAAAAGGGTGATAAGGGGTAAAAACCTGATAGAAAATGGGCAACGATAATGGGGGGTATGAACTTACAAAAGCAAGGGAAAAAATCAGAGGAACGTAAAAGACCTTTCCATCAGTCTGTAAAGTAGGTATTACCTTTCTGTTTCCTAAAGGAAGAAACTAAGTCCAAATAAAGTTCAGTTTTGCCCCATCAAATCACTCAGGTAACTAGACCTAAGTTACGATTTGAACCCTCAAAAAAGATCTGGAAAAAATAAGCATAAATGTTTAAAAGTGGTTGTCTGCAGGTGGTGGGATTATGGGTGATTTTAATTTTCTTCTTTATATTTATATGGGTTTTTTCCATTTTTTTTTTCTATTTGGCAATTGTTACTTGTATAATGAGAGTTATTAAAAGTGAAAGTCATTGAAACTACATCAAGGCCTGGGCTAAGAACAGGGAGCAGAAATTAAAGCGGTAAGGAGGGTTCTCTTCACGAGCTAGGGAATCAGCCTGAGACTTGTTTCTGAGACTGAGAAAACTAAGCAACTAAACTGGGGGTGCACTTCAGAGTGAGGTGGAGGAAGAAGGGGAGAACTAGGCCAGGCCAGAACTCTGGCTCCTCAGGGTCCAGGGACACTCAACCTGAAGGGAGCCCGGAAAGAAAACACTGGCTTAATAATTGGACACAAAGATAAAGACTTGATCTGGTAACAACCTAAAGTCTGAGGCTGGACAGAATCCAAAATGAAAGGGGCTCAAAAGAGGGCTCATACACCTCCCCGGGCAACTCTAGACCTATACTTTGCACCTGTGTGTTTTTAGCCTTTATAATAGAACCTCATGCACATTGTAATTTGTGTTGCAAGAGTATGGGGTGAGAAAGAAAACAGGGGTATAGAAAGGACAGTCCTCCAAGCCAATGAGGTGAGCGCAGAGATGGCTGAAGCCCCTCACTCTGTCACAGTCCTTTTGAGTGGAGAGCCGTTGTGGGGTCAGAGCTGTGTGAATTAGGAGGTAGAGCTGGGGATGAATTCTGCAGGAGAAAAAAGGTCCAGGTTCCTACATCTTCTTCCTCAAAGCAGAAGGAAGGCCTGGGGCAAAATGAGATTCAAGCTTATCCTCAACATGGTCTCTGCTCCTGAAACATTTGCAAACTCCAAGCAAATGTTATGCAAAGAAAACTTTATTTGTAGAAATACATGCTGGCCATGCAGGATTCCTGGCTGGAAGATACACAGTTATAAGGCTGGGGAGTCTACTGGGAATGGTCAGTAATCGTAAGGTAGATATGCAATTCCACATCAAAACTTCTTCTTCCACAACTCATCACTGGCAGTGGGTAAATGTGCCCTTAATTGAATACAAATGAATAACCCCCCAGCCACTCTTCTAGAATATACAAGGTTTTTTTTTACTGTATAAAAATACATCACCTGCTCTAGTCAGGCTATAAATATAATCTGTGAATTTTTTTAAAGTCTCATGTCCAGTACAAAAATAAATACATTAAATAGAAAAATAAATAAATATATTAACTAATAAATATATCCAGTAGTAGAAAGATATTACAAAAATCTTATACAAGTATGGTCTCAATTAAGGTTGGGAAAGTACAAAGACAATCACAGAAGGACACAAATAATCAATAAATAAAATACACTGTGACCAGCACTAATAATACGGTAAACAGATGTTGGTTTGGGGTCATGCCTCTGCAGGTAGTGAGGACTGGAGCTCTTGGCCTCGAGTACTCTTAGCAGCAGCGTCACCCTCCTCCTATTCTGTCTCCTCCATCCATTGCAGAAGAATGTCTAGTTCTCCTAAAGCCTTCACAACTGCTGCTTGAGGCTCAAGCTGAAAGAGACACATACCCATCTGGTTAGCAACTCATGAGACAACATTTGCTCCAGGGTTAATCCTCTCTCTTATGGATAGGTCTACTGACACGTGTGAGCAGAGCATTCTTTTCAAGATGAAGCACTTAAAGAAGTTATAGAATCTCAAGATCTCACACAAGGAAGGGAAATCATTGAATTCATCACCCTGATCTTAAGTACAGACACTGAGGTGCAAGGAGGTAGCAGAAGCAAAACTGCAACCTGAGACTCTTGAATCACAGAGATCAAAGCAATCAAGCTGTTTTCTTTAAGAAACGTGTGTGTGTGTGTGTGTGTGTGTGTGTGTGTGTGTGTGTGTGTGTAGGGGTTGCCCACTGTGCATACATCGATTGAACTGATTGTGCCAATCACCTGGCTGATGGCTAGGGATACAGAGGTGAATGGCACAATCCCTATCCACAGCTGCATGAGAATATTGGCAAAAACAGGCAACTAAAATGTAGTGTGGTGACTAAAGGGATGAAGTTCCCACAGGATGATATGGGAGGCATCTAACTTTGAGAGAAGCAGCCAGCGCCGTCCTGAAAGTGATGCCCAGGCTGAATCTTTAAAGGATGAGTAAGATTTGGTCAGTGAGGAGTGAACTCCAGGCCTTCCTGACAGACATGAGAAGGTGTTAAGGTGAGAAACTGAATGGCATGGGTGTGTGTGAAATTGTGAGTGTTTTCAAAGGTATGTACAATGTGTGAACATTGAAAAACTATTGCCTCTGGTTTGTGCAGCTAAAAGATCCAGATGTCTCTGTAGTGGCTTGATGGAGTCGTGGCCATTCTTTTTCCATTTCCAGAGCATCACCCAGAGAGAGCACTCTTCTAGAGCCTGGATGGGTATCCCCTGGGTTAAAGCAAGAGCTAGTCCTCATGATTTCAGAGGGCTATGAACCTGAAGGCTACAGGATTTCTAACAGCCTGAATATGCATCCCACCCACCTATGATCTCAGTTCTTAAAACACACCCAACCCAATCAATGCCAAAATTACATATACCTCTTCAAAGTGACTCAGAATCTGGCTGTATTTCTTCGTTGCTCCCTCCCCACAATGGCATGTCATGTGGGCATGCTGAAAAGGACCCAAATAATAGATTTTATTACAGATTCTTTTTGTTTTGCCCTTACCATTGACATGAAGCAGTTGCAAATTCTACTCTTTCACCACAACCCTGAGAATCCTGAGTCCCATAGAAAAGTTATTTCAGACCTCCCATTTGGAATCATTAAGTTCATCATCAGCTAGGAGAGGAAGCCACCTTTTAAGCTGAAACATGGAACTCATTCCTTCTTTTTGAGAAGAAGTCCGGCCGTGCTGAAGGCATTTGCCATCCCTGTACTGCAGCTGGCCTCTTCGCAACCCCCAGCTTCAGTCTAGGAGCTCTATCCCAGAGCTCTTTGAGCCCCCATGGGAGAAGAAAAAGAATTGAATTCCTAGGTCCTATTCAGACCATATTCTGAGGTCAAGTTCAATAGTCTATTAACTGACTGCCTAGACAGAGGATGCACTAATGTAGGATACCTCACCTACAGAAAAAGTATAATTTCAAAGGTAACAGAGTTAACATTAATATCAAATAGTTAGCACCTTATAGTTCTTAAGGCTTTGCAAAGTACTTTTTGCCTAGAGCATATACCCAAAAGTCAATAAAACTGGGTTCTTATTACCTAGTAACACATCTCAACACAGATTATTAGAACTTTTGGACTCAGTTTCTCCATCCATTAAATGGGGGTAGGAACGAGAGTTTGCTTGCTAAGCCATTGAAACTATATGCTAAGACGCATCCTATTACCCAAGACCCACACTCACACAGTGCCGGAGGTCCTTCTTGATGGTAAGAAAGGAATTGGCGAGGCTGCTGATCTTCCGGAGAGTATGATGGTCAGGAGTCTGGTAGTTTTTAAATACTCTGTCCAGATAGAGTCTTAGTAGATGGCGTAGGAGGCAGCACCGATCTGCAGGCTGCAAAAAAAAAAAAAAAAAAAAAAAAAAGGCATGTTGGTGAGGGGAGAGGGGACAACAGAGACAAGACCAGGGTGATGGAGATGCTCCCACTCCACACCTACTCCCCGAGTTTGTCTGGGCCAAGCACATACCTTTGTGTCTTGTAAGGACTCAGTCCTCCTTAAGATTCTGACGTCAATGTTTCCATCTTTGGCTTGCTAAACAGAAGAAGACAAAACAAGCAAGGATGGGTCAGTGACTGCTGCCAGGGTCTTCAATATCAAGACCTCTCATCCCCGCCCTGCCAAGGACCAAATGTGTCGGAAGGTGTCCTTTCCCAAAACATTTTATATATATGAATTACAGCTATTTCTAGGGAATACATCCCCTGAGTAAGGAGTCCCCAGCCTGTCTCTTTTCATGATCACACTGCCAGGACTGCCAGGAAAGAGAAACAGACCAGGAGGGGACAGAAGAGGTGTCCAGAAGAGATAGATACCCGCCTACGTACCACACTGCCCCGTATCTCAGAAAATCCATTTCGTATTTCCTGAAGGTTTGTGGTGATCACACACTTTCCCAAATGGAGTGTCTTCAGTCCAGTGGAAGGAGTCCAGAGGAGATAAAATGCAGCAGAAAGAAGGCTGAAGGCAAGACCGGAGGCTTTCATCTTATGGCTGAAATCTGGAGACCACAGGAGCTAGGAATTCAAAGAAAAGAGCATGACTTACTGATTTCCCCCTCTTCCAGGTGTCCACTGGGGGAAAACCAAACAGGCTTAATTGGCCTCAGACAGTGTGGTTCATCCACATAACTTACTAAGAAAAACTGCCGAGTCTCCCGTGAAGAGAAGCTTTCAGGTCTGAGCTCAGGGTTTGAGTGCAAGTTGGTGCCACAGGTTGTGGCTCCTTTATTCTGTCCCCATCCTGGCTCCGCTGTCAGTACCCCTCAGGTAAGGCCTGGAACAGCAGGCACTTGCAGTGACTAGACAGAGGATGACATTTCAGGGGAAATGTCAAAACTTGTTTTGGGGAATTGACGCATATAGCCTTCCCTTCCAGAATGCCAATGTAGCTCACCCTTCAGCTCCCTCAGACTCACAGGGCAACTGGGGAGAAACGGAATCTCACGAAAGCTGTGGGTGCGCCATCAAAAACACCTGGAGGGAAATTGTCTGGATTTTATGGCCACCCACAGGGTAAAGGAACTGAGCGTTGTTTGGCATTTGTCTGAGATCAGATAGTTTATTTGAGGATAACAGATTCACTTAAGCCCTAGAGGCAAATAGAAAGTCAATGATTTCATAACAAGCCTACTGCCAGGGAAAGGCAAGACGTGATGGGTAATCAGCCCCATTCCACCTAACACTGAAGTGTCTGGGACTCCATGGCGCCCTCTGCAGGAGGACTGTAGTCAGGCACTCCTGGGCAGCTTGGAGAGTACATTTTCCTGGTCCTGCAACTCAGGCCCTAGGCTAAGCAAATGGTCCCAAAAGTCAGAGAAGAAAGGCAATGATGGAACTCATTTCTTCTTGAGTGAGGCTCCTCAGTAGAGAACAGTTTAGGGTGTTTGCTGAGTTTTAAGATAAAATGATAGTAGGCTAGGGTTAGGGTAAAACAATTGAGGCACTCATTTGGAGCACAAAATTTAAGGGAGCACTAAGAAACCTCAGTCGTCAAGACAAAAGCTATTTTAATGTAATATCAAAATGAATTTAAAAGCTTGTGACAAACAAAATATCACAATTTTAAATAAAGGCAAAATTCGATAGTGCCATGCTGAGCCATATTGAAGCAAAAGGGAGAATATGTACTGCTACTCATATGTTTTCGTGTTTCATTCTTAATGGTTAAGTTTGTTTCTCAAAAGTATATGATGAAAATATTATCGATGAGCTTCCTTCCCTTAAAACCAGGACAGCAAAATTATAATAAATTTTGTTTGGGGCATAAATAAAATATTTAAACGTAAAGTCATGAGTTCTAACAAACCTGTTTAATTTTTCAATTTCCTCAACTACTTTAATATTTTTGAAAGAAATAACATACATAAAATTTATAAAGACATATATAGATATATATACACACATATATACATATATACATATAGATATACATACATATACATATGGCTGGCTCCATAGCTTGGCACAGCACTGATAATCACTATCACTTACTGAATTTTTCCTATGTGCCAGGCAATATGCTAGACATTTTTTTATATTTGTGACCGCTCGAGAGACTGGCAAATGTAGGAAAAGGGAAAAAGCAAACCAAATCCAAAAGAATCAGAGAGCGCACTGGGTTTGGAGACAAGAGAGCTGGGTCCAAATAAATCTTTGCTTTACTGGTTCCCATTTATGTGGGTCATTCCAGTTTACCCAGGACCAAGGTGGGAGGTGACAGGTGGTTCCCAAGATACAGGAATTTCAGTTTTAAAACTGGAAGAGCCACAGGTAAACTGGAATGAGTTGGCCACCCCACCTCTATGTGATCTTGGACAAGTCAACTCACCTCTGAGTTTCATTTTCTTAACCCAAAAATGGTGATAATTAAGCTTAACTCAGAAATTGTTTTGACATTTAAATAAAATAGCCTATAATGTATACGCTTAGCACAGAGTAAGTGATCAATTCATTTTAAGTAGAGATTGATGTTAGTTGTCTTGAACTAACAATTTGATGAGCATTTAATGAGCACCCACTGTCTTGAATGCTGTGCTGGATACTGAAGTACAAAGATAAGCATGATGATTATTTGTCCTCAAAGAGATCTTGTCCTCATGGAAAAGGGTCCTTTAGATGTGACCTTGAAGGTATCTGGGGTAAACGATTGGCCGATCCCCAGAACAATGTGAGCAGTGTCAGTAGAGGGTAAGATCTCTTACCTGAGCTCAGGAAGGGGTGCTGCTTCTGGTCTCCTAGGAGTCTGTCTCAAGTTGAAAGGCTTCCCATTATTTATACCTATATATACATGTCACATGAAGGAAGTGAGCTCAGGCAGGTGAGGGCTGGAACTTCCTTGGAATTTCTCTGGTGGCATTGCACTTCCTCAAGCGCTATAGCAGCTTAATTGCAGGCCGGATTACCCCAACACCTTCCTCCTGGAAGAAGCACCGCCTGAGGGGATTACTGGTTACAGCTGTGGATAAAGGATGTGCCTCCTTCCGGCTCCACCTTCCTGCTTGGTAAAATGATAGAATAGAGAAGATCTGAATTACTGAACTGGAAGAGAATTCCAGGGCATGCTCTTGCCCTCTCCTCTAAGCCCAGTTCCCCTTAACCAAGTCTCTCCGCAACCCCAAACTCTGGTCTCATTCCTGCTGTTTCTCCTCGGCCCTTGCTATCCCCGCCATTGCTCTCCAACATAGCCATCTTTCCTTCCCTCCAGTTATCATTAAAGAGAAGACCAAATCCTTTATTCCTGAACTGCTCTGGGCTACACCAATCCCTCCCTTCTTTGACTTCCCATAGCAGATTTTTCTTTGGAATGAAAGCATCTACTGTTGCCCTGTTTCATGGAGCTTGGTCTTTTCTCCGTAATGACACTGGAAAATTTTTTTAGGCTGGGTGTAGTTCATCGTGTAGGACCATGCTTCCAGACAAAATTAAATTCAAAGAACCTGGGACGAATTACAGACAAAGCTTTGGAAATTATCAAAGTGGTAGAGACTATCACATGTTCTTTCTCAACTCTTTAAAAATGTAATATCTAAAATTCTGAAGTCTTTATATTTGAGTCCAAAGATCCACAGTGTACAGAGTGACTTTGGCATATGATTGTGTCTTTCTGAATATCGGTTTACAAATCTGTAAAAATGAGAGAAACAGATTAAAGAGCATGTAAGGTCTTTTCCTGTTCTGATATTCAGTGACTCTTTCTGCTTCTACCTTTTGGATCAGAATGTTCTTTTCAACATCTTTTGATATCTTCTTAAAGTTTCCTGAAAATGAGGACCATGACTTGTTATTATAATGCTTGATAAATGTTGAACATATGTACAAATATCTCATCTTGATAGCTCTTAAAATATTTAAGCTCATGCCTATTTTTCCATCATTGGTGCCAAGTCAACCATTTCTCATGATCATCCATAAGTGTGCTTAAAGTAAAATTGGAAGATGTGGTCTGATGAGAATAGTTGAAATCAAGATTTTCAGGAAATCTACGTTTGTATAAGCCAGTCATGTCAGTCAATTCCTTTTCATTAACCAAGAAGAACTCAGTTGCATTGTTTTAAGTTACCAGTAATTATTATTAAATTTAGTATTCACACAGAATCCCAATTCTATTTTAATAATCAAGCCTCCCCTTTTCCTATCTCAAAATACTTTATTCTTTTTTTTTTAAGTTGTTTTTAATTCAGCATCCCTCTCTGTCACCCAGGCTGGAGTGCAGTGGCGCAATCACAGCTCACTGCAATTTCTGCAATTTCCACCTCCTGGGTTCAAGGGGTCCTCCCATCTGAGCCTGCCAAGTAGTTGGGACTACAATGTGTGCCACCATGCTTGGCTAATTTTTTTTGTATATTTTGTAGAGATGGCCACCCTGTTGCCCAGGCTGGCCCCGAACTCTTAGGCTCAAACAATCCACCCTCCTCAGCCTCCCAAATTGTTGGGATTACAGTTGTGATCCCACGCCCAGTTCAGAAGACTTTATTCTTTTAAAATTCACTGACCACATTTCATATCACATTCTGTACAGATATCAACTTACCTCATCTCCTCTACAAAACTTCTCCTGCCTCACCCTAATCTCTCTTCCCACCTCCGTTTCCCAACATGAAACTGATTCCTCCCACCTTTTTACCTTAACTTTACCTTGTATATAGCTTTTTGTATTTATCACAGTCAATTACAATTTTTTAGTTGCATGTCTCTACATGATGAACCTGAGAGCTCCTTGTTCATCTTCTTGGTCTCAGCACCCAATGGCTCTGGTAGGTGCTTGGTGAACACTGGATGACTATGGAATGAATATATTGATTTCTCACTGTTGGCAGGACTTATGTGTATATATCTGTATGTGTGCATATTTATATAAACCTATAAATGCACAAGATCATTTTTATCATTCTTGTGTCTGATAGATCTTAAAAGCCATTCTTTCAATAAATATTTATTAAATGCCTACTCTGTGCAAGACACCGTGCTGAATGCAGTGAGATTACAGAGATGTTTCTTCTTTCTGCTACATTCTAAAGCTTGAGCTCTATGATTTGACTTATGAGGGGACCCTGGGGCTCCCCTGACACACATCTTCTCTAGTAAGTACTGGGGAGATCCACAGATTTTCTCAATAAAGTAATTCTACCTCAATGGCAATAATTTCCTTATCTAATGGTAGACAATTCCTCCTGTACTGTTAGAACAAGAAATAATTTTAAGTACAACAAGTCTAATTCCTTCATTGTTATAAATGGGGAAACCATAGTTCAGAAAGGTTAAGTAACTTGCCCAAGGTCATTCAGTTGGTAAAAGGCAGACCCTAAAGTTGTATTCAGTAAATGTTCATTCCACTACGTGACATTCTTAATTCATGAGAGACTCCTATAGTAAATAGATTTTCTTAAAAATGAAACTGAGAAGAAAGCTTTTCCACCTCATAATTCTGTTAGAAGAAATGAGTCTTCAGTGGAAAGAAAGTAGAGGGTATTAGCACGGAAGATCACACAGGACTAGGAGCCAGGAGACCCATCCTAATACTTACTTCCTC